CGAATCTGTAGCAAACGTGCATGACGCAATACGCATCAGTGCGCCGGATATTCAATGAATCGATAGGAATAGATTCATCAATTGCAAAATGTCAAACGTCAAGATTTTCATTACGATATAATCTATTCCGAAGGTTCTACCTCGGGGAGAGTTAGAGAAGACATTAAGGTGAGTGTCGAAGACGCGCGAAGGATGAAACGAACGGAACGAGTCATCGTTCCACTATCCGCCCCTCTTCTTTTCTCATCCCTTCAGGTACCCGTTTCTCTCGCCCCTTTATCGATAATCCGCGAGTATTAATTAGAATTCCAATCTTCCGATTTAATACGATGTTCCCCCGCCGCTCCAACACTTTCCTCCGCCATTCCAGGCCTCTTCTTTCCACTTCCTCTTTCTCCTTTTCCATCCCGGCTTCTGCCCGTCATTTCCCTCCGAGGGGCTTAACGGTCAAACTGAAACTTTCAAATTGAGAGCGCATAAAGCGAACGAATTTGTACGCGCGGGCACGACTCTTTGGAACTTTATCGCGTCGTAAATTAAAATTTCATCCATGAACGGATAATTGAGGAGTGATTAAAGCGTTCATTTTGCCAAGCTGCTTGGCGAAATGTCTGTAGAAATGTTCTTGTGGTTGGCTCCTATCTCGATTCGTTTTGATATCTCATCAAAACGAACCTTTGCAATCACTATGTTTGTGCTTCGCTAATATGATCTCAAGCAGCTTACGTTTCTTTCTTATTATGATAAATCTTTTTTAGCATAAGTGATTAACAAATAATATATATTTATCCATATTTTTTAATTAAAAAAGAAAAAATGAAAATTTCGAAGAGAAGATTGAATTCCCAAATCTTCGCCTGGAAATGCTCATAACGAGAATGCAATTTCCTTTTTTTTATCCTGATTTTTCGCCGCGTTCTAATTCTTCAATTTTTCGGAAAAAAATATATTCCCGGCGCCATGCCATATAATTGGATAACAGCGAATTAACGCGGAAAACATAATTGCACCGGTGGTCGACGCCATCTTTAACGAGCGCCGGGTTTCAGCGATTAACCGGATTTTACAAGGGACAACAAGATTTCTTCTGAATGGCAAAAAATGTTGGCGCACAGGTTCTTCCGCGCAAACTAAGTATCTATACCATGGTAAAAGTTAATTCTCCGTGCTACCATTCTATCGTGTTTCCGTTCTGGCAGAACCATTTCATTCTAACGAGACAGCGGTATACAACATTAGCTACCTGGTTCGAGTCGACGCTTTGGACGGACATCCGACGAACAACCCAGCGACGACCGCCCCTTCAGCTGTAGCTCGATAACAAGGTGCGCACTGTAATTATGTTTCGTCTCCTCCCCATCATAGATTTTCCGTGAGAC